AAAAATGTGTGTGTGTGTGTGTGTGTTATGTAAAAATATTCTTAAAAATATTCTCATAAAATATCTTTCCGAGTGATTTATGCATTTTTATGTCAGAAACATTAAAAAGATTTATCGTAAATATGGGCATTTAAAAACCCTTAAATTTAGACATTAAAAGTAATTATATTTTGCACATCGATATTTCCTCAAATAATTACGACAGACACAATAGAGCTTATAAAAGAGAGAAGGCTGCAGCCCTGCGAGAACAACGTTATCTAACGCAGAAATCTTCTAAGGGCCCACGTAGCTTCCCTCTTTCTTTTTCAGCGTTCTCCTCGTTTCCTCCTTCGGTTGCTCTGACTCACCCTTGCACGTGTTCAATTTCAGCCTCTTTGAAAGCTCGTTCCTTATCCCGCTGGTCAGGATCCTAGAGAATCCTTGGTGCCGGACCCGAATGAGGTTCTTTCTCGGCCAACCGCTCCGCCCACAGGACCCTTCGTGCTCGAAAAAAGGATCGAGCCGCGACCAAAGAGACCCATCAAACTGCTCCTCCGCATGTACGTAAAAAAGACCGTGGACGCACAAAGACGAAGGAGACGCCCTCGGGGATGACCGTCGTCTCCTCCTCGCGAAAAGTCATTGTCGCCTCTGATGTTCAAACGAACGTTTTCGAATAATTGTTATCGTACATTGACAATTTGGGGCGAGTCCAGACGGTGCGGCGACTCTTCGAGAACATTATCGTGCCGACCAGTGAATCGACATCGGGCGTTTTGTGGGCCCGATACACAATAGATAGCAACTCGTAAATTTCTATAGAGCGTCTTGAAAACCCCCCCCCCCCCCCCCCTCCTTAATATAAACTTCTTCTATAGATTCTTTCGTGACTGTCGTAATTATTTGAAGCAAAATTTAATGTGCAAAACATAATATCTTTTTGTCCAAATTATTTTTCTTTTTCGTTAAATCATCGTTTTAATATAAATATAAAATATATAAAAATTAAATTTTAATGAATTAAAATTGTTTTGTTTCAAGCAAAAATAATTGTAAATATAATATGTAATAAAATACAAAAATCTATATGTTTTTAATTATGAAACTAATAGAATTCGGTAAGTATTTCTCTTTCAAAATTGTCACTACGTATTTACTAGTAATATCATCAGTGCACAAAAAAAAAAATTTGTTAACTTGACTAAATTCATTCAACTAATTACCATTTTTAAATTGAAATATTTAAGTATTTAAATCAAATATGACATATTAAATCTAACATGATGTATATTTGACTTAAATACTTAAATATTTCAATTAAGAAAATGGTAATTAGTTGAAAGAATTTAATCAAGTTAACAACTTTTTTCTCAATGTGAAGATTTTGTTATATCTATTCATATATAATATCTGGATATATGATAAAATATTAATAAGCATATATTTGCTGAGTAATTTTCTCCTCGCGCCAAAACATTCTGGTTTTCATATACGCTTTCTCGTACGCATTTGCCTCGAGGGATGCTGTCTGTTGCAATTTTCTACGCTTTGCGGATCCAATGGATTTATGATCTCGCGTATCTGCAATATCACCGAATCCGCATCTACTTTCGAAAAATAAAACGCATTCGAATTGAACTGAATGCTACTCATATGTGTAAGCGGCGCAGTTAAAAAAAAAAAAAGAATCGTAAAACGCGAAGAGGTTCGCGAGCATCTCCGCTCCCGAAGAACGAATCGAATAGACAGGATACCACGATGACACGGTCCACGCTAATCCTGCAATAGAAATCCTTAAGTCGCTACCGGTCATTCGACCAACGGTAGCGTAGAAGAAGGCGACAGAAAGGGAAGAAGGGAAATGTATAATTTATAATGATAATCCTTTAAGAATGGATCCGTGCCCCAGAGGCAGATTCACGGTCCTGCGATCTTCAATGCCGACCCTCTCCTTCCGACACTCTTCTTTCAAAACTACCCTCCCCCGCGCTCGATTTTTTTTTTCTCCTTCACCCCGGTCGGATGAATCACACGGATCGACTGAGCATGCGGCAGTTCCGTCAGGATCTTGTGTTTACATAGGTGCAGGACTTGCGAGGAACAGCTGTTTATTTAAAGGCATAATGGCGACTCTCGTAAATGGAAACGGACTCTTTCCAAGCCATATTTCTCGACGAGCAAAACCTTCAAGGATTTTGGAGATTCGAAAGGTTGATATCGAAGGAATCACCGCATAGTCCTCCAAGAAGTTTGTCAACTCTCAAACTTAGTGTACTGAGTAATGTTTGATATTAGGATTCTCGTATTGATCTTGGAGCCTATCAACTTATCATCATATAAATGCATTGACGTTTTTATTAACGGCGTGTGGTTTTCGATTTAAGGTGAATGAATAGTCAAGCTTCCAGCAAAATTTGATACGCGTAATTTTAATATTTCTATTTAGAATCCTTGATTTTATATAATAATAATTATTTATAATATATTTTCAAAATTAGGGTTGAAGTTTTATATAAATCTTTTAAATAAAAATATTTTATATAAATAAACAACCCGCGTGTGTTTCAAATTTGTAAAATATTGTAAAAAAATGTATTTTATATATAAATAATATTTTATATATAAAGTATATTTTATATATAAATAAATTATATATATATAGTGCAAAAAATTCACACTTCAAGGCAAAGATTACTTTCTGTGAATTTAATGCGGATGATGAAAGAAGATTCCGAGGTATTATACAGAAGCAATGAGTGAGAATTTCGAGGATATCCCGAGCAAAATTTATGCGTCACGGATACAGTTGTCCGCGACCATATGAATCCTTCCCCCTTTCTATGGCGCGCATCTAGGATGACGAAATTCACCATTGAAAAGTACGTGTCGAAGCATCGCACGAGAGAGTTAGGTCGCGTCCTTTTAAAAGGAACTTTCTCACACAACCCCCAGAGAATGTACACCCACCCCCATGTTAGATTCGCCTTTCAAGCGTCGCGGCAGGTCCTCGCATCCGGCAGGATCGCTCTCCTTTGCGCGAGACTTTGGGACGAGACCCAAATACAGATCTGTGCGGAAGATCTGTACAAGTTCGAACATGTCCCGTCTGCTGCAGGCATGTGAAGGAACTCGGTCAAAGCGCGTTGAATACTCTGTGCAGGTTCGAACCTGCAGGCCGGATTCTGTCTGCTGCAAACGTTTCCAGTTTATATAACATATTACACAAAAAAGAGATCTTTTCTTATTCAGCGGAATGGCGAAACGCGTCTAAACTTGTTCAAACCTGTGAGCCTCTATTTGAGAAAAAGTCTTTTTTTCGAGTTTTTATTCAATCAAACTTGGCATTATATGCAATTTAAAAAAAAAATGTTTTTGTGTATTCAAAAAATATATCGAGAGTGATTCCAAGTGTATGATGCAATCCGCGTGCTGATATTTCCTATTTAAATTTATTGATAAAAATAATAGTAATATTTTGATACAATATTTTATAGAATTCTTAAAAAAATCAAAAAAAGTTTGTTCTTTTATAAAAATATTATAAATTTTATTTTCGGATTTCTTCCAAAAATAATCGAAAGAGAGAATAATATCAAGAAGCAGAAATATCAAATTACGAGTGACAAATATTATACAAAAGCATTGCACCAAATTATTCTAGTATACCGTTAATCAGACAATTTCTCGTTCAACCCTCCGATCCGCTAACCCAAAATCCCAACCGGCGATGTACCGAAAGAGTTAGCGGAAACCTGCGGACAATACGAAGGGAAAGGGTTTCCCTTCCGATGGGATGCACCTGTGAAAGGGTTGAGGCGCGGAATAAAGGATTTCCGAGTTGAAGTCCGGGACACTCGCGACAAGTGCACTAAAATATTACTTGGCGAATTAATTTTTTCTCGGGCGAAAACTCATAAATGCCGAGAATTATTCCAATAATTTTAACCGCGCACCTGGCGAGCATTGTGAAAATGTGGAAAAAGGGCTATGTAACGGCAGCTGCGGAAACTATATCACGCATGCACACTATGCGCACTGTGCACTGTCGGTGGTGGACGCGGCAGGGCAGGTTTTTCCGGTGAGACGAAGACAAAAATCAACCCTTGAATCGTCTTGAATTCTCTTTCAATCGATTCGATTCGCTCTCGGCGCAAGATCGAAATGTCGCTTTTATGATTGCGTGCTGCGCGCATATGTGCTCGCGAGCGTACGAGAGCGAGGGGGTGTCCTTTGTCAGCGCGTTTGACCCTTTTTACCTGGATCACTCTCGCCCCTCGGTTCTCGACCCTTGTGATGCGAGGGGGAGAGGAAAGGGAGAAATGTCGAACAAACATCGGCCGGTGCTTACCCCGTACGGTGGCCCATTCAAGGATGTAAGATATGCATCTACGGTCCCGAATGGGCCTCGAAAATAACGAAATTCTACCGGAGATTTTCGTGATTTTGAATAATATTGCATTCACCCCCGTGGCCGCCTTCAACCCCTCTCGGTATATTCCTTGGACGTTTCAAAGGGATCGAAAGGGTCCTCTCGCGCGTCGCGGCATTATGGTCCGGCCCTTTTTATTCTACCCACGGAAATTCCCTGGACCGGTCCGAGGGGACAAAGGATTCCGCGTGGTTTTCTGACGGATGGGCGAGCGAGCCGAAGCGCATAAAGGATTTATCCGCGAAGGATGGATCGCTCGATCGTGAAGAAGCAGTGAAATACTCAGCAGCGTCCGTTGCGCACATTTCAATTTTTTAAACGTAGAAAAAAAATAGATAATCCGAATTTTGTTCAACATTGTTAAATAAAATTATTTTTACGATCGATAACGCATTTTTCAATATTTTTAACGCGTTTTGCATTTTCAACAACGCATTAAAAAAAAAAAAGGATAATATGATAACAAACGCCCAAAATTTAGAAGATATATTTATGACTAGCGTAGAGTGTTAAGAGTAGTGTTAAATTGAAAAAACCACAAAGCTTAGCACATAAAGGCTTCCTACAAAAGATACATATAGAGACTCACCAACATTGACGCGCAAACTTGTCGATCCGCTTCAGTCGTCCTGATCGTCGAATCCGCGCTGCTGCTTCACCTGCAGCAGAAATTAGCGAAACGTTAATTCACAAAATAACAGTGCGTTTTATTGCGATGATGAAACGCATCCCAGCCGACCGGCACAATTGCTGAATAAAAAAAAAATGAACGAAATGCGGCAAATTATAATCGCGCACTTCAACGCGATCATTAAATGTTTCGTCGAAGACACGCCGAGCTTTACGAATTATATATTGACGAGCTGTAAAAAAAGCTCGTTAGAAACCGCTGGGAGTGTCCCGGTAATTCAAGATATAATTCGGTCCGATTACACACGGTGCCGCCCTAATAACTGAAATTTGTATCGATCCACTATGGATTCTCTCTCCACACATCCCTTAAACATATTTAATAAGCATCAAAAAATCATAGGGGTGTGTAATCCTATTATAAATTCATCCCATTTGCCGCGAAGTGGGGAAAAGCATTCAACTAGACCAACAGCTTGTTCATTGGATATAATGAGCGCAATCAGATTTAAAAAAAAATAAAATAAAATAAAATAATAATAATAATAATAATAATAATAATAATGTAACTTTAATTATGATCTATAATTAGTTACAGACTTTCTCAAAAAATTTATGTGTGTATTCTTTTTATCATTATATTTGTGAAATAAAAAATATTAAATTTAATTTTTAATCATATACATAACGCGCTAATAAAATTGCAAGTTTAAAATTATATTACATAAGAATTAAATTATATTACATAATATTATATTACTTAATAATTATATTACATAAGAATTAAAAAATTACATATATTTAAATAGACACCATAATTCAAAAATAATAAACTTCTTGCGCATTCTATTATCTAGTATTTTTCGTGTGCACAGAAATAATCCATTTTGTACGGATTAATTCTAAAATGTACAGAGAAAATGCGCGAATTTTTTAGAGACTCCTTGCACATTTTAATCCAGGTCCATACCCGAGATGAGAGATAAAATTCCAATCAAGAAAATCTATCTAAGAACCGCGTCTACCTGCCGAAAGCGATTATCAACCCCGCAAAAGTGAGAAATAAAAAACGAATACGGTAGTCAAACCATTTTTCGCCCCCAGGAGCAAACAAGATTTTCTTTTTTTTAGATATCATCCTCTCTTTCTCGATGTACCTTCGTTCATCGCCTTTTCTTTTTTTTTCTGCTATCGATTTTTTCCTGGAAGGCAATAAGTAAAAATAATCGGCTGACAATTTTCTTTCGAAGAAAACTCGTGATTAGAAGATAATAACTCATGCGAGAAAAAAAAATAGAGAAACTTTAACGATTTGTTTAATGTGAAATCGTGAAGTCATAATCACACCGTACATTTATCATCAAATATAATCTCATTTATCTTATTGTGAAAATCGCATATTTCAAACTAAGAATTCAAAAAAAAAAACTTACTTAACATCCTAAAATGAAATATGGAGTTTAATAAATTAAATAAAAAGAAAAATAACGCGCGCGATTACCGCATAATTCGAGCAAATCGACCTCAAGATTATGCGCGCGCGAAAAAAAATCAACAGTCTCCTTTCTTTTCTCGCGCGCGCTCATGTGTAATGGCACCGATTTTAAGACCGAGATAACTCGCTGCATCTGTACCAACCGCGGATGAGATTTACCTTCGCCTCGAGAGATAAAATGAGACGCGGCTACCTTGGCAGCGGCGCGGCAGCTCATTCGGATTTCGTCGTTCCACTTACAAACGATGCTATCGGGCATGAAATCCGTGGAATGTTCTCGGTAAGATATTTTATTACTGTCAGTGGAGTGTTCCACCAGTGGAATCGTATCGCCTTTCGATTAAAGGTACTAGGGGTAGATTACGATCGAGTTTTCGGTTAGTCTTTAAAACTCAATGACAAAGCATTTCCCATTTTCTTTTTATTATCTTTCATAACACATGACATCAAGTTTGAACTAATTAGAGTTCATATTGAATTATTAAAAAAATATATAAAAAGATTAGAAATATATATATATATATATATTAATAATTAAAAAATTTTTAATTAAGTCCCGAAGATTGCAACTAATACATTAATTTTGTATATAAACTATAAAATTTTATATACAATAAAGGAAAAAATAAAAATTTGTCCAATTATTTAGCGCTGATAATTAAAAATTGATATTAAATATAATAGTATTATTTCTACAAAAGCTTTAAATTTCTTATATATAAGATCTATGAAAAACATGCCGTGGTATCAGATTATCCTGCGTATAGCCTTTCGAATTATGAAATATGGATATCTGCGATACTGCGTATCCCTTGTTTCGCCCCTGCAATCACCTCGCCAATTTATCCACAACCGACTCAATGAACCACAAAGGAAATCATTAATTAAAGCTCGACGAGAGAACGAGCGCGGTCGAGTAACGCGTACATACATCAAAAATTTTCAACGAAACCAACCGGATTCACGGTGGACGCCGAGTACAGGTCGAATTATCTCGATCTCGAAATCGGCACGATTACGCGAGTGTACGAGAGGAGGAAGCAGAAAAAGAAGCAGAGGAAGGCGGAAGGAGAGGAGAAAGGGAGGGTGAGAAGGAGAAAAGCGCGGCAAGACGAGGATGCCACTTCTGGCTTGCACCTGCCGATGACGTCAGAAGGGACTTCTTGTTTGGGCCTGCTCAGCCCCGGGGGTCACCACTACTGTTTTAGTTAAGCCTGCACGCTCTTTCTTCGCCTTCTCTTTTCCCTTCACGATCTTACCGAGGATTCCTTCTCTCTCGCAACATCGTCGAACGTGCGTATACAAGTTTCATACGCGAGCAAAGAACGCCGCGGTCATTGCTCACGTATTAATTATATGCTAATGAAAATTCCATGTAAAAAGTCGCGCTCTGTAATAACAGCCACAGAATCTTTTCAACGCCCGACGTCCTTCCTTTGCTGCTCGCTTGTTCATAGTCACGATCTCTAAGTCGCGGAGAGACGTGACTTTTTTTTTCGAAAAATAATCTTGTGTACGTACGCAGCATATATATTACTGCGAATAAAAAACATGCAAAATTTTATACTATTCTTTTACAGATTTTTTTCTTAAAATAGAAATACTACAGAAATTTACGATGAAAATAAATAATATATACAGGGTGGGCGGCCCAAACGTTCCGGCCAGACTTTGAGATTTTATAGGAAATTTAATTCTGAATAAAAAGTTTCTTATAAACATGAGTCGAAAAATGCTTCCTTAAAAAGTTAGCGTCCAAAAATCTCTGAAATCATGGTTATTTTATACATTTTTACAAATATCAGGGAAAGTATGCGTTTTTTAACAAAAAGTACCGAAACATAAGTTGTAGAAAATTAAACTATCTTTCAAATGAGATCAAAATGATTATAGTACGTTCCATAGGTTTTGAGATAATCAGTTTCAAATATACAAAAAGGTGTTTTATCGGCGGTAGAGCTTTTTAAAAATACTCTTCATTTATACTGTTATGGCTTTAGCTATGAAAAAACAGATTTTTATTTTTTATTTTTATTGATTTTTCCCAAGAAATTTATTAAGTTTTATTTTCTTTTTATTTCATTTTCTTTTCACCTTCTGCTCTTCCCTTCATCCTTCTATGGTGATTGGTTTAAAATTAACTAAGGCCATAACAGCATAAATGAAGAGTATTTTTAAAAAGCTCTTACCATCGATAGCCAAGAAAACACTTTTTTGTACATTTAAAACTGGTTATCTCCAAACCTGTGATACGTACTACAATCATTTTGATCTCATTCGAAAGATAATTTAATTCTCTACAATTTTTGTTTCGGTACTTTTTATTAAAAACACATACTTTCCTTGATATTTGTAAAAATATATAAAATAACCTTGATTTCAGATTTTTTGAGCGCTAACTTTTAAAAAAGCATTTTTGAAACTTTTTGTTCAGAATTAAATTTCCTATAAAATCACAAAGTCCGGCCAGAACGTTTGGGCCCCACCATGTATATTGTATTTATATCCTCACATATATAGCTGTTCAAAGAAATCTAAACAGAAAAACAAAATTATATACATCCTCGTACATTTGTCTATGGACAGTGTTTTCAGTTCGCATTTGCCATATGTTTTCAATAAAATTTAAAATTCTTTTATCGTAGGACAGATACCTTTACTGTTGGCCTTCCACAACTAAACTGAATTTACCATTTGATAAAACAACATTATATAAGCGACCTTGTTACAAGTCCTTGACGTCTACGGACTTTTGTCTGTTGTTTTTTATTCCGAGCGAATAGCAATAAATACTGTACGGGAGCAAAATATTTGTTCGCGTACAAAATTTGCAGATACTCAAATATTATTCGCATATGTATATGTGTATTAGGTTTTTGCTCCGCAATTATACTGTACACATGATCTCTTTGCGAGATTGAAAAAGAATTTTCATATCTATAGATGCCAAAAAAGTAAAAAAAAAAAAAAACGCATATGCGTGTTCTCGAGTCATTTTTAGATGCATTCCATACAACGTGCGTTTAGTCTGATTATTCAGACGTTCACGGATCCTTTTTCTCGTCGGTTAATGACGCGATAAAGCGATACTATCGCATGACGGAATGCCAGAGGTAGTATTTTAATCAAGATCGTGTCATATCGCTCACCTCTAATGTTTGCCACGGTCGAACGTGAAGGGGATCGCGCGCTCCACCTCCGGAATATAACGTTTTATCTGATGGAACCCGCGACACTCGTCCGGTACGCGATTTGCATAATCTAATACCTTCGTTCGAGACGCGGAATAAATATAAGAATATGACGCGCAGTTTCTGCAAGGTATTCATCGTCACGCAATTTGCGAAAGTGATAACAACGTGATGCGTAAATTTCCGCTAAAATTTTCTGTAATTTTAGCTATATATAATATTTCGATGCAAGTAAACTTTAATTATATTCTTGATCATATCATTAATGTTTCAGTAAAATAAAATATATGCCAATATATGCTTATGTTTGATCTGTTTTTCAAGAATATCTCCTTGCTTAAAAAAAACAGCGGTTTTTTAAGATTATGTTAATTCCAATAATTCTCTATTTATAATAATGAAATTCAACAACTTTGTAAACTTTATATTTTTTTGACACGGAAGCTTTATCGCTGATATCTATCGACACTAGTAACAGTAGTAACTTTCCAAGCTATAAAATCGAAGATCAACGACATGTAATCGACGGCGAATAATTTATGCCAAGCCGTTTGTTGGTTAATGAACCAGGCCGATTCATTCTGCTCAAGGAGCACAAACGCGTCTTCGAAATTTGTCATGTCACACGCGCCGCAACTCTTCGTTTCGTTGGGCAATGCATGTGATTATCGATACTATAAAATATACGTGTATAAATTTCCGTCTGAGAGTGTATAAGAACGGCGTCTCAAAACCTGACGGACCGTTCTCAAATCGCTAGGATGTGGACGAGCAAAACGATCATGAATTATTAATTCCACGTGAGACGCCTCCGGGATGATGGGCGCGCTCGCGCGAATACAAGGGGATGATGGGGGAGGGGGAGGGGGGGGCGCGGGCTTTAAATCAGGACACCGCGCGAACGGTCTCGAATTAATTAAAATTTGACGGTCGCGTTAAGAACCGGTTGTAAAGTCTATCCGATCTGGCGTGATGGTCCTCTGAAGCGAGGGATTCTTTCCATCGGCTGTTAACGGCCGTCAAGAGAAAGAGCGCGAAGCGAAGCGAGTGATCCTCTGTTGGAACAGAACGTCCGCGAATCCGTGCTCGCAAACCGGTTTAAATCCGCGGCTAACAGGAAACGCGCGAAATTACCCGTTTCCTCAATTTTCATTAGAGAGTCGCCTGCTGCCTGTGCGCGGTAATAATGGACGCGAGATCGCGCTCTACAAGCTAGAGACATTCGAGTTAACGTCGCTGCTACAATTAACTTCGCTAGATTCAATAGAACGATAAATACAAGAATTTTTTGCAAAATTATTTCTGCTGATTAGTTTTTATGTTGATCTTATGTAAAAGGAATTAACTGACAGAAACTGTCACTTGTATGCCTCTACAAATTAGTCATGTTTGTGGTATTCAATATGCGACACGCTCTAGTGACTCGAGTACCACGTGGGTAAAACCAGTCGTTTGATATGTCTAATGATCCATGACATTTTTATATTCTACATTTGTATGAAAGGTTGTAATTTTTTGGACGTATGTAGAACGAGGTTCGTCGAATTTATAAGTTAAAAACAAAGATGAAATCGGCTATCAAATCAGTAACGATATGATTAGAGATATCTGGTAAACTTTCAAACATATATTAAACCAAAAATAAGGTTGAATTTAAATTGTAAATTATATATGATCAAAATAATACACACACATTATATATATACATATATAATGTGTGTGTATCATTTTGATCATATATATATATATATAATACGAATGCACGGATATTTTTATATTTATCTTAATTTTAATTTAGATTAATATTTTATTAATATCTCTTACAATAATATCTTAATACGCGTATAAATTAATATACATAGAAAAGTTAATCAGATTATCGAATTAATATAACAAAGAATCGCTCATCGCAATATTTCTGTATATATTAAATTTGCAAAGAATTTTTTTCAAGAATAATTTTTAAAGAGAAACTTCGGGACTAAAAACAATATTAAACCGAGAGTAAATAAAATCACCCTTGCAAATTATGAATCCTTCCTCGACGCAGGTAAGTCGAGTCTGCGAAGTACCAGACTCGTTTCACCTGCCCCAAGCTGTATTTCCGAAGCGCAAGTGAAAACAAATAATCCGAGTGTACCTGTCTTTCGAGGGGGCAGACAAAGTTTGCCTGCGGGATATAGCCATACTGTGCCTGCCCTCATCTCGACACGATCCTACACGAGACTCGTTTTCACCCTCAATAGGTTTCCATTAGTATTCAGGTGCATCAGTCGAACGTCCATAAACCCCCGGTGATTTTACGTTCAAATTAAGCGAATCACCCCGAATAATGCGTACTAATTTTTTTAATATGAGAAAAACCTGATAAAATAACATTTTTAAATAATAAATAAATAACAAGGAAAATAAAAAATGATTGAAGTATATTAATAATTATGCAACCCTGTTTTATTTTTTTACCCTCCTCAAAATTTATTGCTCAAAATTATTGCAAAAAAGTTCTTGTTTAAAAAAAAATTCTACAAAAATATATTTTAATTTTAGTTTTATACATCCATTAAATAGATTTATCTATATATATATATCAAGTGCTAACACGTATCCATTACTATTCATCTGACATTCGTGCCACGAAACAGGTTGTCAAAAAATATCACCCCGAAGAAAAAACTCGGCAATTCGTGGGGTACGTTTGAGAGAAGAAAAAAAAATACATTCCCTCAAAAAAAGTTTCAGACTTTTTTATGACGGTACAGCTAATGGAAGCATCGTGATCGTGTCATGAAGACAAGGGACTGAGTTCCAAGATAATAAAAAATCCGGTCGGAGGTGTATTTAATAGCGGGGGTTACCGCACCTATCACGGGGCGTCTAGATGCTTCTCGGCTCTAAATCTCTCGAGCACAGTGGGGTAATGAAAGAAGCCCGGATACGTTATTACTGCACGTTAATTACTATAACTTACCGACTATACGTTAACCCTTTGGCTTAAAAATTCTCAACAACGATCGCACTCGAGATTATTTTTCCTGAACCGTGGAGATCATCCAACAAATAATGTGTATGTAAAATCTCATTAAATATTTTAGTTATATAAAATGTTCATCAATCAATGTAAATAAAAAAATCAATGTAATAAAATTCAAATACAAATATTAATTTTTGTATAACATTTTATAATTACATAACTCTTTTTTCTTTCATTTTCAAAAATATTTTAAAATGAGATAATGCAATATTAGAATACAATAATTAAAATACTTGCAGATCCAATGGAATTTAATATGTAAAACTTTGCAATAATTTTAATTTTAAATATAAGATATAAAAATCTATAAAAAAAACTGCTTTTTTGTCCATTCTTGCCCCCAACAAAGACACATCCACATAGGATGCACGATTTCTACAACCCGATGCACCTTATATCACGCTAGTTCGCGTGTCAACATTGAATATACCATCGATCGTATGTTACACAAGTTGATATAATAAACGTTTCGTGAATCCAACGATCAACTGGGCGTAATTAAGCATTGTGAGCTTTCTTCGTTCATATCATTATTTCTATTATTACCAATGTCGTGTCTAACCAGCCAACTTGTCACCCCCGATGCGAAACGCAACAAGTTAAATACTTTGTATTCGGGGCAAAGCTGACGACAAAATCCGTCTCACCTCACGCAAACTCGCGTGACGCGCACGAACGTGTCGCAACAGGTTCGATCCAGTCTTGAAAAAGCAACACCATCACCTTCTTGTACTCTCTAGAAATCCCGGCTACATCCTAGAGAAAGAGATCCCTCTAGAAAGGTCTCTAAGAAACCAGATTCGCCGCCGAAACGAGAGAAGATCCACTACGTATAAAATCGAGCGGGGGTGACCATGGGGGTGTGTGCGCACGTGCATATATAAAACGGAGGGGCCCCTGCAAGCAGGGTGCTACAGGGACCGAGATAGGTGGTGGACGAGAGGTGAAGGCGGAGAGGGAGGGAGAAGACCGGCAGATGGTCGGCGTGGACCCCGACGTGGGAAGCTCCGAATTCTCCAAGTTCCCACAGCCAGAGTGCACCTGCCTTCCCCACTCTGTAACCCCGTGCAGCCTCGGCGGGGCTATATAAGGACGGGGTTGCTCGTACTAAGGCACCATTCGCTCACTAGCGTTTCGCTCCAAAGCAACTTGCCCAAAAGCACATTCACCAAGTACACGTTCTCCGCTTCCACGTTCTCCCGCCAAGTTCCTATCGAACGACAGTTCGTGCCACGTGTTCCGAGTTCCGACAGTTCGGCAGAAAAAAACCGGTTCAGTGTACGTGGTTCAAGGGAGAAGAAGCTCAGAGATAAAGAGAGAGAGAGAAACAGAGAGGAAAGATGGCCGCCACTACCGTAACCGAACACGTGTTGTTCGACTTCGAGGTCAGCGACGTGTTCCAGAACGAGCTCAACGACAATCTTTACAACCTGAACATGTCACAAGACAACAAGGCCGTGAACACCAGCAAGAGCAAACGCATGCTGAAGCCGTTAAAGCCGTTGCTGCAAATGCTCAAGAGGCGCTCCAGCAAATACGTCAAAAGCAAGAAGCGTCAACAGGCCGTGCCACAGATTGAAATCTTCACCGAGGAGGTCGACAATCAGAACAACGCCAATGAGGCGTTGGAGCGCAGACTCCTGCAGGAGTTACAAGACGCCGAGGAGGGTGCCGCCATCACTGTCTGCCTGGACGGACAGATGACTGTCGTGCCGGTTGTGCCTGGTCAGTGTTACGTGCCGGTGCATTTCGCCCACACCCACGCCGGCGACTTCTACTGGACGACACTCAGCATGGCCGACAGAGACCTGTGCTACAAGGAACGTGCATTCTCGCAGCATCAGCTCCCAGAGGTGCAGGTGGCGTGAAATCCCTTCATCGAGAACAACCGCATCTACCTCAAAGGCGAATCGTCCGAGAGCTGATTATTCGAGATGCGCTGAAGTTCCTTCTGCGAAAGCACCGATCGTGCTTCCAAGGCCGAGGACTGCTGTCACCGGCCGAGGTGCGGGACGAGAGCTTAAATAAGACATTTCGAAACTGTGATCACTAGATTATGTTATGTAGATTTTAATTTTATGTCACATACATTGACAACTGACTGACCGAGATAAGCATTCCTTGCAGATATAATGAAAATTGATAAAGAGTATGTCAAAAGACAGACGCGTTACATATATATTTTTTTCTTTTTTTTTCTTTTTTTATATTGCGACACATTAGTCGCGTTTGTGATATTTGTACTTATAGGATATACTTAAAATATATATACAAATTTGTAGTGTTATTTTGAGATTGTGATATCGGCTTTAATGTCAGCAAGCTGACAGTTTTCTACGTCTTCCAATATGTTTGTTTAAAATAAATGTTATTGATAAACAAATATATACCTTGTGCCAATTAATTCATCGTTTCCTTCACCTTAGTTGTAAGCGAATAATTTTAAGAATATCATACAAATATTAAAAACTTTTCTTTTTTTTTAAATATATTCATTCATATATTAAAAAATCGTGTAAATTTTCCATTAAAGACGAAAAAAGCGTCTTTAGATTAAAATTTACATGAGAAATCATTATTTTTCGTGTGTATCATATAAATTGAAATATATCAATAAAAAATAAATTTGTTAAAATCATCTATTCATATATCTAAGATCGATTCCAAAAAAAACTTCTCTTTCACAAAAGGTTCTCTTAAAACTCGATTATATTCAGCAATATGAAAAATTCTTTAAGAATTCCAAAGATAGATGAAAAAAATTTGATCAGCCATTTAATATAGCTTAAAAGAAACATCAGACAAAATTATTTCGTTCATAAAAAGCTAATGAGATATAAGACAATAATTTTACGCGGGAAAACTTCTCCAAGATGAGTACATGAAATTATATATCTGAAAAATGTGACTTTCAACCGCGATTAAAGAATATCAAATTTCAAATTTATCGTATTTATTTGTATTTCTTAAAAATTTAATTTAATCTTTCACTATTAAATAGAATTATTGATAATATATGTATTAATGCTCTCTTCAATATTTTTATATCAGTAAAATACTTAGCTAGTTGCGTTTTTTCATATATTAGTTATAAATATATTAATTGTTTTTTACTAAGTTTTGAAATAAAAACGAGCGAAAGGGCAAGTAGACAATAGTTCGTTTAACCGAGAATGCTGCACGGATATGGATCGACATTATGCGCACGTGTTGTCCATATGTGACAGACACATGTCCACTACGGAGTAGATGAGATGGGGTGCGTGCGAATTCGCATGATTTTCCACAGCAAACGCAAGGGTAACCCCAACTTTCAGACCGAAAAATAATAAAAGACATCACGATGATCAATAACCGTATATCGAAGTATAATAGAATAATCGAAAGGGTGAATAAATTTACGATATGTGTGTTCAATAGAGCTAATTCAAATCTGTTTACTTAATAGATACTCAACTGTGAAGTGCCCATCACCTGGCGCTACAATATTTTATTAACTGGAGTAAATAAATACAATTCGCAATGCAATAAGTTGCTGCTATATTGTTAACATTCAAATAAAAAAA